TTCTTTATAAATTCAATTCTTCTATATCAATCGGGGGGGGGGGGGGGGTGTGCCTGAAAGAAACTCTGATCGGTATCGTGATTCTAAGACGACCATTAGAGTCTAGTAGTTTAGTCTCTTCCGATTCCATATACATTTTTGTACACACGACACTTGTCCGAATGTTATATTCATTGTAAAAATAGTAATAGAAATATTGTTTTGAAATAGGTGAATTCCGCAAATCGTTCCAAATATAGCATAAGCATGAAGTTGGGTTTTTTTTAATTTCAATTTACATTTTTACCACACAAAATGGCGTTTAAGCGAACTGGACCTTATATGTGAGGTCGTGTGGGGGTTAGAAAGATAGGTAACAGAGTCGGCGCTACCTATAAGGCGAACTAGGCGACCGCATAGGGCGCTGGCCGTAGGGGTTGGGGGTGGGGGCAAAATGGGTTGGAAAAGCAAATTGAAAGTTTGAGGGGGATGCAAATCGAAAGTTTTAGGGGGGAGGGTGCAGATCGAAAGTTTGTCCCCGGGGGCACGAAAAAAATTGCGGGGGGGGGGGGGGGTGCTTTTAATAAGTTTTGCCTAGGGCGCTAAATAACCTGGCGCCGGCACAGATAGTTAAGTAACCATTTAAAATTGGATATCTAGAGCTTGAGAGTAAAAGCAAAAATATTTTTTCAAAAACTTTTTCTCTTCTATTTACCTGAAACTCTTTTGGCGTTAATCCCACTATCCCTCCTCGTTTCTTGTGGCCTTTTTCTGGAACCCTGAACGTCGTTGACCTTTGCACCTTCCAAGAGACCCTGGTCGCTGACATTTACCTCGGAGCCCACAGCATCGCCGTTGTTCAGCAGCCGCTCCATATTCTCCGGCGTGTCTCGGTGTATGGCTTTGTGCTTGGAGCCGTTCTGGTATTTGGTGTGACCGCATGACGTCACGGCGGCGCCGGTGACCTTGGGTTTCCTCGTGCAGAGCGACCTGATGACGCTGGAGGTCGACGAGGGCCTGTTGGGAGGATGAGGGTCAGTGGCGTAAGCAGGATTTTGTCAGGGGTGGGTGCGGTCAAGAAATACATCGTCCTAAACTAGTTGTAGTTCATGGAATTGGGGTAGTAAAGTTCCCCCTTTCCAAACCTGACGGTCTATGGGGTTAATAAAGTAGAGTTCACCTGTTTCTGTGACCTCGGCATATGTAGAGATAGTGTGGTCAGCACTATGCCATAAAAAAAAATTGAAATTGAAAACTGCAATGTTTCACTTGTACCAATAAAGGTAACAGGTCAAGTAAGGAGAACTGTAACTTTGATATTGTGGAAGGGGGTATCTGCCGGGATGGGGGATAATTGACAGTTGGGTTATTCCTGCTCCTGTATTAAAAAAGGCTTCTAGATGGACCAATGTTTTTACTTTGTAAGGTTAACTTGTATTTATTTTCTTTTTTTTTAGGGCATTTAATTTGGTTTGATTATACAGGGTTTTATAGTCTTAATTCAAGCGAGGCTTTTGGTGAACACTATGTTACCTACTAAATATCCATCATACGCTTTAGGATTAGGGTGGTTCTAAACTTGAGATGGTGAAAGGGTTTAAAATTTGAAAAACCTAGCCTTCTATGTAAGCAGTGCTTTATATTTATAAGGGTTTAAAAAATATTACATTAAATCATTTCAAGACCCTATAAACATAGGAGAATTAACTTTTTTTTTTTATTAAATTCACCACGCAATTAATTAATCGCCTTCTTTGCGTCAATGTCGTTTTTTCTTATTCTTTAAAATAAATAAATCATTTTTTTTTAATCTTCAGATTTAGATAAGACTGTTGAGTTTAATTTTCTTAATTAAAAATCGCGCAGCTTTTTTTTTTTCATAGGCGATCAAAATATGACCGGAAATAACAAAAACACCTTCCACACAGATCACACACACAACCACACACACACACATACACGTTTACGTACAGTAAACACACATCCACACACCACACAAACACCCTCCACACATCTACACTCTACAAAAAAAAAACCTGGATTACATCGATGTTGGCCTTCCGCTTCCCATCCTTCCACACGAATCACATTCTATATACACACCAGAGTTTCTTCCAGGCATTCGCCCCCCCCCCCCCCCCCCCGAAAAAATTTTACCGCCCCCCCCCCCCCCCCCGAACGAAATGAAATTTATATAATTTATATAGAAAATATATACTTTTAACAGTGTTCGCCCCCCGAAGAAAGTCTACCGCCCCCCCCCCCCCGAAAATTTTAAGTGCCCCCACCCCGGAGAAAAAAGTCTGGAAGAAACACTGATACACATACACACACGCACACACACGTACGATCCACACACATCCACACACCACACACAAACGGACTTCGCAATAGTATTTGCCTACTTCTTCACCACACATACAGACACATAACATACAAAAGCACACATACACAACCAGAAAAATAGAAAACAAACATATCCACACACCACACAATAATGTTCATCTCCTTCACCACATATACATACACATACCATACACAAGCAACCACACATATTTACACAGTACACATATATAAAAAATATCCACATATCCACACATCACACATCCACACTCCACACACCAACAATCTACTTGACAACGATGCGCCCAACTTCTCTACACACCCCTAGAAACACGTACTCCACACTCCATACACCTACAACATACTTGCCAAAAACTTCTCTACATACACCACACACCCACTCAAACATCCCCCACAACCCACACACTCCACACACCAACAACCTACTTGCCGACAACGCTCCCCTCCAACTTCTCTACACACACCTACACACACATCCCCCACACACCCACACACCACACACTTCACAAACCAACAACCTACTTGACAATAGTTTTCCACTCCAACACCTACACACACACACCACAACCCACACCACTCCACACACCAACAACCTACTTGACAACAACGTTCCCCTCCAACACCTACACACACACACATCCCCCACACACCCACACACACCACACACCACACACCGACAACCTACTTGACAACAACGTTCCCCTCCAACTTCCCCGCCTTCCACACCACCCACGTGATCTTGCCATACAGGACCCCCAACACACAGGTTGGCACGACAAAAACGGAAGTGGCCGTCCACGTGACGTAAGCCTGTAATGTCCACTCAGGATGAAACTCGGCCCAGCAATCATAGACCACAGGACTCGTCTGGTGAGAGAGAAAGAGAAAAACACGCTGGAATTAGTAGGGGAAGACAGGCTACAGTTGGTGAAGAAGAAAAAAAAGTAATCACGCTATGTTGTCGCATAATGGTAATGCTGTTTTGTTGTTTTTAAGTCTCTTTACCTTGACCTTCACACAGAGGCGTAGCGAGGGGGAGGGCGGGGGTGACACCATTTAGGGGGGTGACACCAAGGCAAAAAATAGCAAAATACATAGAGGAAAATGATAATTCCACTTAATTAAGTGATTAATTGGAGTGTTAATTAGTGTTTTAAGAGGTGCAAATCGAAAGTTTGAGGGGGCGCGGGGGTGCAAATCGACAGTTTGAGGGGGAGGTGCAAATCTAAAGTTTGAGGAGGGTGCAAATAAAAATTGAAAGTTTGTCCCCGGGAAGGGTCGCTACGCCTCTGGGGGGTACACCATTAAGGGCCGCACCCGACCTCGCTACGCCACTGCCTTTACCTTGGTTTTATCTTATACCATAACTACAGCCTTTATTTTCATTCTGATTCTGACACTAACTTGTAACTCTGGTCTTTTTCGGTAAATCTTATATGTGGGACGGCGTGGCCAAGCGGTAGAGCGCTAGACTGCTGCCACGAAAGCTTAAAGTTCGAATCAGGGTTCATGTCAGTAAAACGTCCCTGAGTCCACCCAGCTCTGATGAGTACTTAACTTAAACCCACGTTAAGGAAAACAAAGACGACTGGGCATAGTGCTTACCAAATTATTCCTTCATATACCGAGGTCACAGAAACAAGTGAACTCTTCTTCACTTGCCCCATTGGCAGTCAGGATCTAAAAGAAAACTACTTTTTTTAATATCTGCTTGGCTACGCTGCTGGCATTTTTTTTATAAACTGTTGTTTAATTAAATATCGATAAACCATTATGTATGTGTTGGCTTTTTTACTCACATTGGCTGAAACTTAAAAACCACCTTAAAAATATATTCTTTTTTTTTCTTATTTTAATTCTCAATCGATGAATAAAAGATATACAGAAAACCTAGTTAACCTAATCTAAAAATAAAATAAAACACTTTTTGAATATCAGAGTTAAAAGAAAACAACTAATTTTTAAACAAGGGGAGAGTACCTCATGGTCTAAGTGTTAATGGTATCTGACAGGCTGGCTATGAGTGGCCAGATCACTATTTTTGTCAAGAGATAATAATGTTTTTGTGCGGGGTTTTTTTTTTTCGAGTAGCCTTAAACTTTTTAGAAATGTATTAAAATCAAACTTTAAAAAAATATTTAATTTTATTTTGTAAGAAAATGCATTTGTAAAAAGGTTTGACGCATAGAATTTGAACTTTTTTTTAGAAAGAAGCTACATTTTGTTTATAGTTACAGATTAGACAAACTTCATGGCTACAATTATTACATCAAAGTAAAAAAAAATGATTCGATATGTAATCGGGACAGCTATTAACATGTATAACAGGCCCCTTCTCTTCCAATAAATACATCTTGTATTCGTCATATTAGAAAGTGTTTAATTTTATGTGCTGCTATGCATTTATTTTATAACTTGAACCAGGACTAATATTTAGTGTTCAATGACCGATAATTCTCATAAATGTTTTTGCGTTGTTTTTTTTTCAGGACGACAAGCAAAATTGAATGTTTAGCTAATTTTTCATAAGGTTGCTTGGTTATATATTTTTTTGTTTATTTCAAACACAAAAGCGATTTTTAAAAATAAAAAAACAAACAATAATTCCACTTTAATTTAAATATGTACTATCTTTAAGATGATGATGTTATTGGGGAAAGGTGTCAATGGTATCAATAACAAATTTTAAAATTTTAATTTGAAAAAATAAAAGTATTTAAAAACACTTTTTGCACTGTTCCGTATTATTTTCTCGAACATTCCCCTTGTTTATCCCATGCGTGAAAGCCTATGGCTTCCCTCTTTCATCGCTATTGTCAATCTGTCATCTAAAAATAGATAATCTTTTTAAAAAAAAAACATATTGTGTCATTAAAACTAAGTCGGATGATATGTAAAAGTCAAGGGGGGAATCTAATAGTAAAAAAAAAAACAACTTACAATGCTAATGTTCTGAAGTAGTTTTGATGAGACTCATATGAGATACAAATGAAGGAAATGATGACTGCTGGGAAGGAATATGGGCCCTTTGATGGGGTGCTTCGTTAAAGAAAAAAAATTGGCTTAATTAAAAGTTCTAAAAATAGCATTATGTTACCCCCCCATCCGGTTTGGGTGACATTGCGTGGAGAGAAGATTTATCAAGGGAGATCACCCCGTCTGAAGGTCATAAAGGGTGGTAACCTCATAGGGAAAAAAATAGTAAACAAAATGCTTCTTAATTTTCCCGAAGAGCCATATATATATATACATATATATATATATATATATATATATATATATATATATATATATATATATATATATATATATATATATATATATATATATATATATATATATATATATATATATATATATATATATATATATATATATATAGGGAATCAAAATATTTTATAAACAGTGAAAAAAATATTTATTTATGTTTCTTTCATTTTTGTTAAATACCTAAAAAAACACTCTAGATTGAGAAATCTTTTCACCGATTGTTTTACTTGTGTGGCGTTGTTGATGAGTAATCACACATTAACTAACACCTAGATCTCGAGCACGAATCAATGAGTCCACCTCAGCCTTAATAGGTATCTGGCAAGAATCGATGCGGGTACGAGTAGGTAGGCATAATGCTACTTTGCATATTCGTTTCTCGAAGGTTACGCCTAACTTTTGCTTTAAGTGTTGTATTTTTTTTCGAAATTTAGGTACTGCAATTTTTTTTTAATTTAAAAAGTATAATAATTCTTATTTTAAAAAAAACATTGGTTAAAAACTCTTTCTTCTCACCAAATTAACGTATGATTATCGATAACTCCAACAGAACTTAGTGTACTAATAGAATATGCTACAACACAACCATCCCAAACATAAAGACAACCACCCATCCCTACCACAAAAAGAACAACCACCCAACCCTTTCACACATGAGGACAACCACCCAACCATCCTACACTTAAAGACAACCACCCAACCCTTTCACACTTAAAGACAACCGCCCAACCATCCCACACAGAAGGACAACCACAGATTCCCCCCCCCCCCCCTACATAAAACATCGTCTTCATGCCCACGAAAAAAGTTAATCCATTATTTTTTTTATTATTATTTTGGCACCGACAGGAAATGACAATACTTTCATTTCCATCCTATTCAGCCCCTACTTTTATTTTTTAATTATTTTTTTTATATTCTTCCCCCTTTTCATTAAATCTATTACTCACCCCCTCTTTATAATTCACAAGACTCATAAAAATTTACATTAATTGCCCTTCATATTGATTGATAAACTAAGGCCTCAGAGTACGTTTGTTTTATAATGAAAATTTCCGGCGCCCGAAAATTGTTAACACTAAGTCTAGTGCCAAATTTCCTTTCGAAAATGAATATCGCTTTGCAGTTGGTATCGTTATGTGATAATGTAGTATCGAACTATAGTTGATATCGAAGGTGGTTACTTTATTTGGTAATATCACGTTTTGCGTAGTTGGTATCGTTGTATATGTTATATCGCAATCAATATGGTATTGTATACATTTATCTCTCTGTAAAAATGTGATATGGCTCTTTCGGTAGGCGGTATCTTTCTGTAGTTCGGTAGTATCGTAGGCTTTATCGTAATGTAGGCAGGCGAAATCGCCATGTAGGCAGGTAGTATCGGTCTGACATCAGCATCATCATCATTGCGTTTGATTCCTTGTGGTCTAAGTTCCTTATGGAATTCAGGGTCACTGTTACTTTAGACGGCCTCTGTTGCTTGTGGGATTTAGGGACTGTTCCTTGTGGGATATAGGTCCTCTACTTATGGAATATAGGACCATTGTTCCTTGTGGGATATAGGGCCTCTACTTATGGAATATAGGACCATTGTTCCTTGTGGGATATAGGGCCTTTGTTCTTTGTGGGATATAGGGCTTCTACTTATGGAATATAGGACCATTGTTCCTTGTGGGATATAGGGCCTTTGTTCTTTGTGGGATATAGGGCCTCTACTTATGGAATATAGGACCATTGTTCTTTGTAGGATATAGAGCCTTTGTTCTTTGTGGGATATAGGGCCTCTACTTATGGAATATAGGACCATTGTTCTTTGTAGGATATAGAGCCTTTGTTCCTTGTGGGATATAGGGCTTCTACTTATGAAATATATAGGACCATTATTCCTTGTGGGATATAGGGCCTTTGTTCCTTATGGAATATAGGGTCTGTTCGTTACGGAAAATAAGTCCTCTGTTCCTTCTGGAATATAGGGCCTCTGATCCTCATGGAATATAGGGTCTATGCTCCTTATAGAAGACTAAGAATATAGGGCCTCTGTTCCTTAGGGATTATACAAACTATGTTGTTATGGACTATAGGGCCTCTGTTCCTTATCGAACATAGGTTCTCTGTACCTTATAGAATATAGGGCCTCTGTAACTCATGTCATATAGGGCCTCTGTTCCTGATCGAATATATGGCCTCTATCCCTTATGGAACATAGGGCCTCTGTACAAGCTATTTTTCCCCACGTCTCCTGCCAATCATTCCTGTTTCACCTCCTGTGTTCATCTTCCTGCGTCGCCGTGTTTACTTGGGTCGTCCTGTGGGGTCGTTTTCCCCGGGGGTCACCACGCTAAGGCTCGTCTGACTCTATTGTTGGCACCCTGAAAGTGGTACTAGACCAAAGCCAGTTGTTGTTTTTTTTCTAGGATTTAAATTATTATTAATATCTGTCCACACATCTTTCACAGTTTTGCATTTTCTATCTTACCCTGCCACTGAATTTTTAATATATTCCTTAGGCATCTGTTTATCAAGGTCTGTAGGCTTATTCTTTTGTTGTTGGCTCTGTTGTTCTCCGTGTATAATATCTGCAGAGCAGGACTGTTTCACTTTGCCGTTGAAGGGGATTTTTTTGTATATCAGTGTCCTAAGAATCTTCTTTAAAAAGGGCTGTTGTGTTAGGCTACAGGTAGTTAACAAAATACACACATAGCTTGCTAATGTCAATGCTAACTCTCTCCGTAACCTCAGTTCTAGTGCTATCCTACGTCTAACCCTAATTTCTAACATTAAAGTAGTCGAGATTACTATACTAACAACCTAAAACACCTATTTGAAGAGTTTTTCGGACCTGTGTATCTTCATTCATCAAAGACGTTAATTTTACTTTAGTAAGAGTACGACTATTCCTGGGCTGGTCTAACCTAGGCCTGTCAAGCTAACTTTATTGGAAATGATTGTCATCTTTTGTTTAGGCGTGTGGTATCCAGTGGTGGATTGGCCAACCGGTCTACCGGTGAAAATCCCAGTGGATCCCCGGGAAAAAAATAATGGATGAGCCCCAGGAACCGTGCTGTTATAATCCTATAAGCGTTTAGATTTTTAAATAATAATGTGTTGGTGTTTATCTATTTTACAGTTTCCATTATTTCTTACCAAGTATGAGAATTTCAGACTTTGATGGAGAAAAATTACCATGAAAATTTTAATCTGGGGTTGGGGTCCCCTTTTAAAATTCCCCGAGACTTTTGGACACAGCTAGTTCACCCGGCTACAGGACATTACCCCCCTGGATATTTCCCCCCCCCGGACATTCCCCCCCCCCCCCGTATTTACCCCCCGGAGCAATTACCCCCCTGTCAATTACCCCCTTGTCAATTACCCCCCCCCCCCCCGGGGAATTACCCCCCCCCCCCCCTCTCTAGTTAAAATCCTAACTCTAACTAGAACTTTATACCTATATACTACTTTAATCCAAACCTTCAGAAAAAGACCAAAACCTAAGCATCCACCTTAGCCTAAAACTTCACACAAAACCAAAACCAAAGCTAGACCCTAACCCTAACCTTAGCCCTAGCCCTAACCCTAACCCTAACCCTAACCCTAACCCTAACCCTAACCCTAACCCTAACCCTAACCCTAACCCTAACCCTAACCCTAACCTTAACCCTAACCTTAACCTTAACCCTAACCCAAACCCTAACCCTAACCCTAACCCTAACCCTAACCCTAACCCTAGCCCTAAACCTAAACTTAAACCTAAACCTAACCCTAACCCTAACCCTAACCCTAACCCTAACCCTAACCCTAACCCTAACCCTAGCCCTAAACCTAACCCTAAACCTACCCCTAACCCTAACCCTAACCCTAACCCTAACTCTAACCCTGTCCGGGGGGGGGGGGGGTAATGTCCTACTGGGCGGGGGGTAATTAACAGGGGGGTAATTGACAGGGGGGGTAATTACTCTGGGGGGTAATGTCGGGGGGGAAATATCCGGGGGGTAATTGACAGGGGGGAAATGCCCTGTTCCCAGTTCACCCATGGTGGTATCGCACTATAGGTTATCTCTGAATACATACAGCTTCGATTATAAATAAATACGATACCAGTCATTTCCTCGGGTCAGTTTCAACTTTTATCAACATATTCTTTAATAAACTACATTTAGGAACATTTATTGAGCCAAATGTTAGATCTAAAAGTGACGTTTTGAAAGCGGCATTTTATTTTGAATAACTTTGTTCAGAGAAAATTAATATCTAAGAAACAGGCTCTTAAACTGAATATATAGACATGCATTAATGTTATTCATTCAGCGATGCTCAGTTCTCCCGCGGTATATAATTTACTGACTAAATTAGCATAAGTTATGTAAAAATAAAAATTTATAACTTCGCTTAACCCAATTCCACAAGTCATTGGATGGAATAACCGATTCACAGAACCGCATTAATTAGAATGTTTACATTTATAATCCAGGCCAACTCTTTAATTTTTCGTTCATACATGTTCTTTTTTTTTTCATTAAAATCTAATAATAACAAGGACTTTCCAGTGACTGAATTTCGCAATGTCCAGAAAATAATTCTAAAAGTCTAATTACCGAGAGCTATCCAAGAGAGAAATAGTCACCGCAGTGTGCCTTCTAACGTTAATTTAAATATTTAGTACAGTTAGGAGAAACACAATACATGTCCTACATAGGTCTAGATAGGTCGAATGTCTGGTGTCTACTTAGAGGCTAGTTCGGCGACTGAAAATTGATAAGCCGACTAAAAGCTGGTTAGCCGATATGACGGCGGTTAGCCGATATGACGGTGGTTAGCCAAAAATCTGCTGTCTAGCGGCCTACCTAAATAGTTGTCAGCCCTATATTTTTATACATAAATTGTGGGTACATTTATATTCAAATAGTTCATTTCCATTTTATAACTAGGTCTGAAAATAACTTAATACGGAACGGAAATTCTTCTAAGAAAAACTCATCGAAAATTCTTACAGAAACATTTCTTGAGTACTTTCTCGTACGAAAATATCGCACGAATCAACCGCACATCACCTTTCAAGTTCTGACTATGTAATCGAAACTGGGGTTGGAGGTCAGAACCGAAATGTAAATTCCTTCATCAAGCACAAATTTCACTGCCAAAAGAAATATGTCTACCGGAATCGGAAGTTGGTACTCAACACGACACGAAAAGCGGTTCGGCCGGCGGCCAGCGGCCGGCAGCCGGAGATGGGATAACTCACCTCGGTTTGCCGGTATGAGAAGATAAACACTTGGGGCACGCTGAACAACAGCGAGGCCGTCCATGCTATGACGGCCAGTGTGTGCGCGTGTCTGGCCGTCCAGGATTGGCTGGCGAAAGGGTGGCAGATGGCGTAGTATCTGTTGATAGAGGAAATGTGGATTTTAGTAATAGACTATTACCTAGTTCTTTGAGATACAATTTTTAGAATAGGATGTAGCCTATCACGCAACATATATATGAGTATATATATATATATATATATATATATATATATATATATATATATATATATATATATATATATATATATATATATATATATATATGTATGTATTTATTTTTTTTATTTAAATTATTTACTTACTTATTTATTTATTATATATATATACTTATATATATATATATATATATATATATATATATATATATATATATATATATATATATATATATATATATATATATATGTGTGTGTGTGTGTGTGTGTGTGTGTGTATACATGTGCATAAATGTATATAAATGCATATATATATATATATATATATATATATATATATATATATATATATATATATATATATATATATATACACTTAATAGATCTACTTACATATACTCTATATATATGTACATATATATAAACTTATATATATATATATATATATATATATATATATATATGTATGTATGTATATAGATATATAGATATATATATTATAAGCATAGATTATATATATACATATATATATATACATGTATATATATAGATATATATATAGATATAGATATATATATATTATAAGCATAGATTATATTTATGTATGAAGTGTGTATGTGTGTTGTGTGTGAGCGGCGTATTTGCATGTGGTGTGGTGTGTGTGTGTGTGTGTGTTGTAAAAGGTAAAATATAATCCTCTTTAGATCTAGCGATCCATTGGGCAGATGAAGTAGAGTTCCTATGTTTCTTGACCTCGGTGTTATGAAGGGAAGGTTTGGTCAGCACTTTGCTTAGCCGTGTGTGTTGTGTGACTCAGTCCGTGTCGGCGTGTATGTGTGTGTGCGTGTATGTGTATGCGCGTGTGTGTGTATGCATGTATCTGTGCGTGTGTTCCTGCAACAAATACACTGAACTTGACACAGAGGTGAAAAAAATACCTACTAGCTAAATACAACAACAAAAATTACCCTTGGTAAAAACTCCCCAAAACTTAGATAACCGACAGCTATAGATATCCTAATCCCTTTAATTTCCAACTCTAAGCCTATAGCAGGAAATCCCACCATACCATAAATATCACAACATATTATCCCCAGTCTGTAGGCCTGTTATATTTAATCTCTTTACGCTATACAAGTTTATGTTTTTGTTTTGTTAAGAACGCAATGTTTCCATCCACATTTCTTATCCGTGTGAACTTTTAAAAAACTTTTCTCAATGTCTCCATCTTAACCCAGGTAGCAGCCATGTATATGAAAACACTTTTCAATAAGTCCTAGCATACAATAGAAACCAATACTGAATTTTACATTTCTACAACTTAATAATATATATTTCTATTTGAAAACGACTTAATACCAGTAAGAAATTTAGATTCTTATAATTATAAAATAAGAGGTGAGCTCTACTTCCTCTGCCATATCGACTGGTAGTTTGAGAAAAGAAATTTCCGTTTTAAAATGGTACGGCACAAAGGATCATTTTTATAACTCCTTCAATTTTGATTGCCTTATTTTTGCTACAAACCCAAAAGTCTCGAGTTCGAATCCGGGTTCAATTCAGTATAACATCTCAGAGTCCACCCAGCTCTGATGGGTACTTAACTCATGTTAAGGAAAGTAAAGGCAGCTGGGCAAAGTGATGACCACAGATGCCCTTCATATGTTGAGGTCAAGAAAAGAAACATGAACTCTACTTCATCTGCCCAAAGGGAAGAGTAATCTTTCCCATTTATACTAAACAATCTCTGTACTCTAAGCAATCTATATTTTAACTATATGTACACAACATTATGATTCAAGAGATTTTTTTTATCAATAATATTGGAAAACAAAATAAAGAAATTATTTTCCCCAAATCGTATACAATCGTATATATATATATATATATATATATATATATATATATATATATATATATGTATATATATATATTTATATGTGTGTGTGTGTATATATATATATATATATATATATATATATATATATATATATATATATATATATATATATATATATATATATATATATATATATATATATATATATATATATATATATATATATATATATATATATATATATATATATATATGGGATTATTACTCTTTTTTAAAATCCGAATCCAAGCAATCTATATTTTATAATATATACAAATATTCATTAGTGAAAATTATTGATTTCATGTGAACAAATCAAATTTTAAACAACAAGGGATTAAAGTTCTAAATTTAAACCTAACCCTGCAAGGCTGGCAAACATAAACCCTACAGCTACAGGGTTGGCAAACATAAACCCTAAAGCTACATGGTTGGCAAACATAAACCCTAAAGCTGCTGTGGCCGGCTCAGAAGACGTAAGGCTACAGTTGTGAAGTTAGGGGAAAATATATGTGGGACACTGGACGGAAACCCTCAAACTGCTGTCATTTTTTGCACGAAACTTGAGCCTCGTTTTCATACACAAACAACTAAAGCTGACTTCTCCTTGAGCATTATGTTAAGCAATATTTTATTCTAAAAATGTACAAAATTCTATTTATTTAGGTCTACATATAGGTTTATATAAACAAAATGTAATCTATAAATTATTTGTATTTTAATTTACAAATATAGTATGTAGGCCTACATGTATGATTACATATATACATACATATTCACAAATAAAATTATATACATATAATCTATAGCGGCAGGAGATTACACCAGTGCACAAATTATCATCCCATATAACTAATCCTGACTAAACCTCACTTTCACCCCCCCCCCCCGGCATAGTCTTCGCTTTCCCGAAGCTCAATTTTGTGTTTTGGATCGGAATGAAATCGGAATCGATTTTATGATCCCATCCGACTACTGGCAACAGGATACCCCGTCTATAAAGCGATTACTGTTCAAATGACCATGCAAGGATCGATACCCATCTGCGAAAGAAATATTCTTGGCACCCTGGTACCATCAGGAACCCTAACTCCTGGGCTCTCCCTATTTTATTATAGCATCAATAACGTTTAAAGCCCAAACATCAGATTCGTGTATGACATTGGATATTTATGAGGCCGCCATCCATCCTAAGTCTAACGCTGCAAATTGAATACATTTAGATAGATTTGTTCTTTTTAAAAAAATATTTTACAAATAGTTTGTATGAGGAGCTGTTTACGCTGATTATACCTTAACACACAAGTGTAGTGGATAATTGTAGTTTTTATTTTCACTGGGTGAAAATGTCAACGATATTTCTAATAGGTACTGGTACTAGATCGAAGATTTTGTTTTAGAGTTAAAGGGATTTATCTTCAGGTTGTGTCAGGGTCAAGGTCTTTATTTTTACGTTGTGCTAGGGTCAAACTCCTTTTAATCAAGCCGTGTTAGGGTCAAGGTCTTATCTTTAGGTTATGTTAGGTTTAAGGTCTTATCTTCAGGTTATGTGAGGGTCAAGGTCTTATCTTCAGGTTATGTGAGGGTCAAGGTCTTATCTTGAGGTTATGCTAGGGTCAAGGTCTTATCTTCAGGTTATGTTAGGGTCAAGGTCTTATCTTCAGGTTATGTGAGGGTCAAGGTCTTTATATTTACGTTGTGTTCGGGTTAAGGTCTTTATCTTCAGGTTATGTAAGGGTCAAGGTCTTTATCTTAACGTTGTGTTAGTGTCAAGGTCTTTATCTTAACGTTGCGTTAGGGTCAAGGTCTTTATCTTTAGGTTGTGTTATGATCATGGTCTTTGTTTTTAGTTGTGTTATGCTCAAGGTCTTTATCTTAACGTTGTGTTTGAGTAAAGTATTTTGTCATGATATTGTATTACGGTCTAGGAATTTTGTATTTTTGTGTAATATTAAACGATCATTTGATTAAACGCTTTTGATAGAAAAATTAGTATGGATTTGTTTTAGAGATGAATGATAAAAGAATTATTGGCTTAAATGTTAGATGTGCATTATGTTGTATAATAATGTTACATCAAACGTATATCTTCAATCAAACTATTATTAGATGATTAACGTTTTGTGTTTGGCTTTAGGCAGATTTATTCAGGTTTCATTAAATGCTACATATGGCAAAAGGAGTGTATGTTATATTGCTAGGTAATTTTTTTTTTAAATAGCGATGTTACTGTTGATGAACTCTATGATTTTTAGTTAGAATATGAATTAGCACATCAATAAAACTGACACTAAAGGACTTATGTCAACAAAACTACGAGTTCAATTTTAGGAGTAAATATACTCAGACCCATAATCATAATTTGTACAATTTAATTAATTAGGTGTAAGAGTTAAAATGAATTAGCCTGATAAATTATTCAACTCTATCAACATGGACTTTTTAAGTTAGTTTTTTATTATTATTTTTTATTTTATTTTTTAATATGAAGAAAAGCATTCGTGGCTTCTTTGACTATTAACTTTCTACTCAACATTTCATTCTAAAAAAAAATTAAAATTCCAGACAATGGATTTTTATGATATCTCAATACACTTCAAGTGTGTCGGTAATTTTTTGCTTTGTATGGTAGCTAGACCATCACCTTGTACACAATTGACCTCAAGTTTAGGGGAAATAAATAACAAGGAAGTCTCCCTTCAAGGGAGTTAACTCAAGTCACTTTAAAGAAGCTTGAGAAAAAAAAAATGTTGACATACTGAACTTTAACATCCGTTACTTTTTAAAAACAAAAACGGTTTGAATTTAAAAAAGACAGCTAAAAAGATTTTTTTCTTTTTCACTAAACCTACTTTATAATTGATTAATGGTTGTTTTTTCACATTCAGGATAATCCAGTTAGATGCATAAGTTATAAATTAAATGTTTCTTTATACACATATATATATATATACATATATATATATACATATATATATATATATATATATATATATATATATACATATACATATACATATATATATATACATATATATATA